ACAGGGTGTTTATAATTTACAGAGGAAGATGGGTGTGTGTAGGGGCAATGGAGAAAAGGATGAAGTAATGTGTGAAAACCTCATTAGGGATGTGATTGCTAAAAGCGGCCTTGGAGAGGAGGGCCGAGATGAAAGTGGAGCTTTTCGGTTTAGCACATTCTTAACAGGAATAATGAAAAAAAAACCCCAAACAAATACACTGAAGCATTGTTAATGGATTGCACCTATAAAGTGAACCATTATTTATATCCATTACTAACTGTCATGGTATTTGATGGTGAAGGCCATGGAATACCCATATTTCATGCTTTCTTGGCAAAGGAGGACAAGCTCCTCATGGAAAAGTGTCTCCGTATCTTTGCCCAACAATTTGACCCAAGCTCTGCTCATTGTTTTGTTGCTGACAAAGACATAACAGAAACAGCTGCCAAAGGAGCAGTTTTCCCTGATGTGCCTGTTAATCTTTGCCAGTTTCACATATCACAGGCTGTTAAATGACACTTGAAGAAAGAATTGGGTACCGGTAGTGGGTGCAGCTATCAAGAGTGCTTGACACGTTCATATGTCAAGTTACGACGGAGAATTTCAACACTTGAAAGAACAAATTTCAAGCGTTGTTTCACAGCCTGTGGTTAATTACTTTGAGGAAAACTGGTGGTCAAAGAGGCATCTGTGGGCAGCTTCATGTGAACATCAACGTTGTGCGTCTCCATGCAACAACAACTAATGCATGGGAGAGCTATCATTTTAAAATCAAGAAGATTGTAAAAATGATATTGTCTAGAGTATTGGCTGGTTGGGTCCTCTTTGCGAACGACTGCGTGCTGAATGCCAGTACTCAGTCATGACATGCAGGGAAGCCTGGACCGTTTTTCCAAAGCCTGCGTTAATTTCTGCTTTATTATCTCCATGAAGAAGACCGAAGTACTGTACCAGCCAGCGCCATTGGCTCCTTACATAGAGCCCCATAACCATTGTACCTTCTACGGCCAGAGACTAGCAGTGGTAGATAAGTTTGTTTACCTTGGCAGCACCCTCTCTCGCTCTGTCAATATTGATGACGAAGTGGCCTACAGAACTGCCAGAGTTAGTCCAGCCATCGGCAGACTGAAAGTAGTGAAAGGCAAGGTCTGGGAGCGAAGAGGACTGAGCCTTAACACCAAACTCAAAGTGTATAATGCAGTAGTTCTTCCATCCCTGCTCTACGCCTGCGAAACATGGAGCGTCTACAGCCAGCATGCCAAGCAGCTCAATGCCTTCCACATGAGATGCCTCAGGACCCTGCTTCGTATCAAGTTGCAGGACAGAGCCCCAGACACTGAGGTACTACAGCGGAAAAAGATGGAGAGCATATACGCTATCCTACTGCGCTCTCAGCTCCGGTGTGCCGGCCACGTTCACCGCATGGACGACCCTCACCTCCCAAAGAGGCTGCTCTATGGTGAACTGACCCAAGGCAAACGTTCTCTCGGCGGACAGAAAAAACGCTTCAATGATGCTCTGAAAGCATCCCTGAAAAGATGTGACATTCCCCATACCACCCGGGAAGAAGCTGCTCTCGATCGCACAGTTTGGCGCTCCTTAATAAGATCAGGAGTGGCCAAATTCAAAGAAAGTCGCGTCAGAAAGAAAGAATGGAGACGGCAGCAGAGAAAAAACAGAGACCTCTACCTTCCAGCCTAGTTCAGCCCCAAACATCCACTGCCCTCACTGCAACAGACATTTCCGAGCGAAGATTGGCCTGATCAGCCATCTCCGCACACACCCCACACCTCCAGTTATGTGAAGCCAAGGTTATCTTCGCCAGCGAAGGGCAAACATCACAGGGGGGGGGGGGGGTGTCATTTACAAAGACAAGCACCACACAGCAACACCAACCACATGCACATGCAGTACATCTGGACATCTACAAATTCCATGTCGCCACAACTTTACCACAAGCAGATACCTAAGCATTGACATTTTTTATGAGGAAGGTGTTCCTGATCATTTCAAATGCCAACACATGAGGGGACAAATTTCATCTTTTCTTCTGAACCAGACTTGACTGTACCCTTTTCTGTGAGAACTAATGGTATAGTGAAGTGTACCGGTAATTACAACAAGGACAACAGGTGAACCAACAGTACTGCAAGTTGTTTGTCCGGCCAGGGGGGAGTAGTGCAACAGCCAAGCATCCACTTGACGACAGATGTGTTTGGTTTCTGCTGTTTGACACTGTGCATCTCCTCAAGTGCATTCGCAACAACTGGCTCAGCGAAAAGTGCCAGATGATCAGTCTTGACAACCAAACTACAGCATCGTTTTCTGACGTCAAGCAAGTCTACGAAGAAGAGAAAAACAGAATTCTGAAGACTACCCCTCTCACCCAGGCCGCTGTCAATCCTTCCAAACTTCCGTTGCAGAATGTGCAGCATGTCTTGAAAGTTTTCAATGACAAGGTTGTGGCTGCGCTGAAACTGAGAGGCTGCTATGAGACTGCCGGCTTCGCACAGACCATCATCAACTGGTGGAATGCAGTAAACGTGTCAGGGAAAGGTCAGGACCTACGCCTCAAAAACCCTTATCGTGCCATTCAAAGGCAAACGTCTACCAATCTCAGCACATTTCTGAAAAGGTTCCAGGAGTCTGGCTCAGGCCAAGGAGCTAGTCGAATTCAGTGTCTTAACCATGATACGAAGAAAGCGCTGGTGCAGACTATGCAAGTATCTGCTAAAGTCTGAAGGCTTTGAGTATGTGCTGCTGCAGGAAATACAGAGCGACAGGCTTGAGAGTCAACTGGAGCAAACTCTTTCATGACTACAGGGGATGTGCTCTCTGCCCGCAAGAAACATGTCGCTAGACACACTGCCTTGTACCTCCAGTCTATCGATGTCCAGCCCGAGCCAAAGGAGCACATCTGCTTGGACACTGCCATTGCATTGGAGGATGTAGCTTCTATCGAGAGGTGCACTTCGGAAGTCACTCTGACAGTCAATGAAGCGAGCAGTGCTGCATATGTGGCGCCAGGCTGGAGAACAAGTGTGTGAGTGAGCTGATCTTCAGTGAGGAAGAACCTCTTGCGACCAGTGAGGTTAAGGACTTTGTGGACACAGTGTCGAGAGGTTCCCTGTGCACTCCTGATGCTATTACTTTCGAGCTGGTGAAGCTTGGGCTTTGCTTTCTGAAGAAGGCGCGTCACCGTGCATGCTGCCGCAGAAGACTGGTGACTATCTCGTCAACACTGGCCAGCTTCAACGACATTGACTGTCCAAAACTGTACAGACATCTGTTCAATGTTCTGCTTCATGGACTACAGAATCTGGAGAAAGATCATTAGAGGAATGCCGTCCTGCTGCAGACCTCTGTGAAGAAGGCCCGGTTAGCTGACTAACTGCTGCGGTTTAGTGAGTTTGTTTTTTGTTTGTTATGTATTTTTTGTCTGTTTTGTTTGTTTTAATGACAGAAGATTGCATTTTAATGACAGAAGCCTGCACACAAATCTTGTGAAACAGAAAGTGAGTCCTTCGATTAGTGTGAGAACCTTAGGAAAGAGACACTGACTTTAGAAACTAATAATCGGTGCAGCAAAAGCATAAAAACACAAAAAAGTTACTTTTATTTGCATTAACAACCTTCATAACCACTTTTATTACATTAAAAATCCAGGTTCGACACATTTTGAGAAGTAGAAAGTGTTAGATGGCAAATCATTCAATGGCCTCCGCTAGCGAAGTCAGAGACTGAGTTGTGCACGTCCTGTTTTTAAGTAGTCCTTGGTACATATACATTTAGAGATCTTCAAGACCTTCACATTGATATCTCATTCATATACCAGTGTCAAGTACAACAGAAGTTAAGACATGAAGCTGCAGCAAGCACCTAGTACATCTCTGTGATTGGCCCAAATATTGATGACATATTTCAGCCATCTATTTTCATCATCTTGCGGTGCTTCCCTCGCCAGTTGACGAGATCTCACCATGGCGGACCCCCTTTGCCGCTTCGCGCACTATAGATCTAGGTTTCATCGCCGACTGGGCTGTGCACGCGCGCAGGCTTGTGTGTGTGCGTGTCTGTGTGTGTACGCTTGTGTGAGTGTGTGTGTATGCTTGTGTGTGTGTGTGTGTGTGTGTGTGTGTGTGTGTGTGTGTGTGTGCATACGCGCTTGTGTGTGTGCGTACAACTTTGAGGAGAAGGTAAATTTATAGAACGACAAAGGCTGAGGTTGTTTATAAAAGGTAACATAAATCAATACAAAAAAAAAAGCAAACAAACACGGCGAGATCTAGAATCTAGTCAGCAGTAAAAGATACTGGGAAAGGAAACCCAAGAGTCTTGGGGGAAACCCGGAAGAAGACCAAAATAGATGGCGGAAATACGTCATCTATATTTGGGCCAATCACAGAGATGTGCGAGGTGCTCGCTGCAGCTTCATGTGAAGTTAAGGCCATTTTTGTGTTCTCCGCTTCTCTGCTTGCGAAGGCGTACTTTTGGAAATTGGGGACATGTATTGCAAATTCAACTTTATCGCTACTATGCCCTTTTCATGCTTCCTTTGATCTAATATCATTAGGGGATTCTTTATTTGATTAGCAAAGCACAAAGAGGGTATAACTGCTGTAAAATAGCTGCAATATGGATTAGAAACTGAAACTTTCAAGAAAAATTATGTGTTCCTCAACTGTAGACGTGTTTTTCTCAAAACTTTGTTTTGAATGGTTGGTAACTTCAAAATGCCATAACTTGGCTAAAAATTAAGATGTCTTGAAAATTTTAAAAGACACAACACAGAGAATTGAAAGAACTATAACATGGCAGTCTGAAAAGCCTACTTTTGCAAAGGCATTCATACATATACGTTACATTAACTTTGTACTGAAGTAATAATAGAAGCAGTCTTGAGTTGCAGTAAGGCATGCTCGCTCTCTCTCTCTCTCTCAAGGCTCAAGGAAAACAACAACCAAAAAAAACCCCCCACCAAAAAAAGAGAGAGATTTGAGTCATTGACACAACTTGAATTCCAAATTCAGGGGTATCTTTTAGCATCGCATTGCACAATTAGATCTATCCCTAAGTGATGTGGAAAAAAATATTTGTGGAAATGTTATTTCCATCCTTCTTTTGAAACATCCTGTGCCAATAATATTTTGATTCACACACCCTGTGCGAATACAATTCCATATTATTCACACACCCGGTGCGAATAACAACAGCCTAATATCAATTTTAAGGGCAGGACAGAAAAGTGTTTCAAATTTTATTTTAGTTGATACTTTTATAAGCGTATGTTTTCAATGGGAGTCACAGCCTCATAGGAAAGGTGACCTGTCAGCCACTGGACGAGCAAAAATTTTGTCGGCATAGGGCAGGGAAAAACTGACAGCAATGAAGGGGTTAAGTAGCCAGCTATTTGTAACTATATCATGGACTTTACTGGAAAAAAGGTCAAAGACATAAATGATGCAAATTTGCAGTTACCAAGGACCCTAAAGCTTTGAAAATTACCAAATTTTGGCATTTTCTCATCAATTTTACCTGTAACACTAAGCAACCACCACTACCTCCCTGAGATTTTAATATCTCAATATCTATTCAAGATAGTTGGGTAATTTCTTCATCAGAAGCAAGGCAAATGGGAGAGGCTTTAACATTATACCAACGACTCCACATACCCAAAAATTGACAAGCACCTGATTTCACAAGTCATGATAGTATATCTAGCTATCCATCAGTCACTGTTGCTCTCCTCTGAGTCCGAGTAACCACCAAGCATACCTAAGGCCCCAAGCGCTGAGGATTTGGGAGCGTCATCCTTGGAAGACTGCACATTTGAAGCCGATTCTGGCCCTGACGATGTCGACGAAACGCTGGGCATTGTGCTTTTTCGATTATCTGGTTGACCAGAAGGTTTTCCTTCTGTATGACCATTTGTTGTTGCATTTGTAGAAGAAGTCCCTGGGGTAGATGATGATGGTTTTGTTGGCGTCTTCCTCTTCACAAGACCAGCCAAGGATGTTTTCTTGGAGAAAGTGCCAACACTCCTCTGCCAGGACTCCTTTGGTTTCTCTTCTGACTTAGCAGAGGGAGCCTCCTGAATTTACATAAAAAGCAAAACAAAAACAAATTAATCAAATAATCTATTAACCAGTTTTTAAAGTGACAATTTCCATTGATCAAAAGAAGTAAACTTGTTATAATACCATGAATAAAGCAATCAACATGACTGTCCTCGAACGATAAAATGTCAAGGCTGGTTATCATGGTGCACCACTCAGTTTTTGAGCTAGAGTTAACAACTTTTGCGACCAGGTCTTGCATCTGCATGAGGTCACTGTTTAACAAATTAGAGACAGAAACGATAGAACATCTTTGTTTCCACCCTTATCACCCACCCATCAATGTAATAAGCACAATCGCCCCTCCCCAGCAAGTAACAACGATTCAAGGAACCTTTTTCTCAGCTGGCCTTGCGATCAAGGTGACAGGCAGTGATCAAAGTCATATAACACCTCTGGCTACACAGGAAAATTTCCATGCTAGAGCGTCACAGGAAAGTTTCTATGCTGGAGCGCCACTCAAGCACTTTCAGAAGCAATGAGGAGATTTCACACTCATACCACCCAGACCAGTTGCACCATTCAGGGCTCACATGGCTGAAGTAACAGCGAGAATACCAGAACTATCAATTTATGTTTTTATGCTATGGGTAACAGCTACCCCTGAACCGCACCCCTTCAATGACTGGCCGTGTGGCATAAAGGTTAGAAAGAACCAATGGAACAAAAGGGGGAAGTTCTGTTTCAAATCAAGGCAGAGCAGGCAAAGCATTTTCCATCATAGACAGGAAAAAAAACACTCCGAAGGGAAGGAATTTCTCTTTCCATTTCTGGGTTGAACAGGTTTCAGTCTAATACAGGTGTATAATGGAGAAACTTATAATAGGGGAAGCCGGGAGATTTAGTTTTGACAGGATTCACTCTTGAACATGTTTCCATTAAGGCTGGTTTGACTGTGTTATTCAAAGACAGAATGATAAGTGGTACAGTAAGGATAAAGCTTGAGGTGTCTTTTATTTTACAGACTACCTTTGAGAATGGCACAAGGTAGGCTTGCATTTCAGTCTTATATGATACAAAGATGTTGTACATGCACATTTCGTGAAACAAGCAGAATACTCACGGCAAGCAGATCTGTAGGAGCCGCCACCTTCTCGTTGTCGAGTCTGGCTTTTTTCGCGGTCGTCGTCGCTTCTTCGTCAAAGGTGGCGTCATCAATTCTACGGATCATCTCGCCAGAAGTGCCTTTCTTGAGGATAGCCCTGCAAAAAAAAAGAAATTGTACAATGACAACATCCCTCGTTATGAAACATATTAGATCTATGAAATCACACCCTCAGCATGTGAGTTCCCATCTCAGACACTTCTATCTGCTTCACAAAGTGAAAACTACTACGTCCTGTGAATTTAGCAAGTCCTCATCATCAATGCCTTTCTCCCTTGGCAGGGTATAGGCCACATACAAGCTCCTTCCATTTATCTCTGTCCTGAGCCATCCTTCCAAGCTCATTCCAAGTGAGCTTCATCTCTCTCATGTCCCTTTCCACGCATCTCCTTATTTCCCGTGGCCTACCACTGCCTCGTGCTCCTTGTGGGTTCCACAGCAGTGACTGTTTTGTGGTGTTTCCGCTGGGCTTTCTTAAGGTGTGTCCCATCCATCTCAACTTTCTTAGTCCTATTTCTACTTCTATATCCTTTTATTCTGTCCTTTCCCAAAACTCTTCAATTCTTATTCTATCCTGCCACTTAATTCTTAGAATACTCCTCATACATCTGTTGATCAAAGTCTGGACTTTATTCAGGACTGCCTTTGTTGTCTTCCAAGTTTCGCAGCCGTAGAGGAGCACAGACTTGACGTTGGAGTTAAAGAGTCGAATCTTGGTGCGCAGTGAGACCTTGCTTGCTTTCCAGACTTTTGATAATTGATTGAATGCTGACCTTGCCGTGGCAGTCCTTGCTTTAACATCTGCCTCGGTTCCACCTTTACCATCGATGACACTACCAAGGTAGGTAAACGAGTCCACTTCTTCCAGGGTAGCGTCTTCCACTGTCACAACAGGGCTTGAAACTTTTCCTAGCTTCACTACTTTTGCTTGCCTGGACGTATACGTAGGCCAACACTCCTCGATAGGCTGTTGAGTTCCTTGGTCTTTTCTTGCATCTGAGCATGTGTGTGAGAAGCGCAGTGCAAGGTTATCGGCGAAGTCCAAGTCGTCCAGCTGCTGCCAAGGGATCCACTGTATTCCATTACGCTTGCCTCCAGTGGCTTCTTTCATGACCCAGTCAATTGCTAGTATGAAGAGAAAAGGTGAGAGCAAGCATCCTTGTCGCACTCCTGTCTGGAATGGTTCTGAGTTATCCTTCGTGGAAGACTTGGCAGAGCAGTTTGTTCCATCATAGGTGGCCTTCACAAGCTTGACGATTTTGTCAGGTATTCCAAAATGCAGCATGAGTTTCCACAGAGTTAACCTGTCCGCGTGGTCAAACGCCTTTTCATAATCAATGAAGTTGACTTAGAGTGGTGAATTCCATTCAAGCGATTGTTCAACAATGATGCGCAGAGTAGCGATCTGGTCCACACATGATCAGTTTTTGCGGAATCCTGCCTGGTTTCCTCAGAGCTTCTCGTCTGTTGCCAGCTTGATTGTTTCCAGGAGTATCCTGTTAAAGACTTTCCTAGGTATGGACAGGAGTATAATGCCTCTGTAGTTGTTACAACTGCTGAGGTCTCACTTCTTTGGCAGCTTGATTAGGTGGCCTTCCTTCTGGTCTGATGGTATTTCCTCCTTTAGCCAAACCTTTTCAAATAGAGCATAGAAAATTTCCACTATCGTATCTTTATCTGCCTTAAAGGCTTCCGGTGGAATATGGTCAGGACCAGCTGCCTTGTGGGACTTCAGTGTTTTTATAGCGGTTGCAATTTCCTTTCTTGAAGGTGGTTCCGTAACTATTGGGAGGTCATTTCTGGCAGGAAAAATTTCTGGTTGGTTTTCGGGAGGTGGTCTGTTAAAGAATTGATCAAAGTGTTCTCTCCATCGGTTAAGTTGCCCCTCTGGGTTGAATATAGACTTTCCCTCTTTGTCTTTCACTGGAATCTAGCAAGTAGTAAGATTATATTTCAGAACATTAGCCTCTTTTCCCCAAGTAGCCAAAAATAGTTACAGAGTTGTATACACTTCAGTCATCATGAAAAAAAAAGTTAAAGATTGCTTACTGATGAATAAAAGTGAAATAAAAAATCACATGCTAGTGAGTTAGAGCTATGAAGGCTCCTTAAATGACACAACTTTCCAAAGGCATTAGCGGAAAGATCAAGAGCCACCTGGCACAGTCTGGTGCAAGATTAACAGAGCAAAGTGCAGGTCTCTCCATATTAAAAATACTAAAAACAATCAGACAAAAAACACATTACTAATCCATAAAAACAATGATACATACAGTAGACAAACTCACATACAACACTACGGACTTACATGAAAATGACAGACAAATCACTTAACTCTCTCTGTCTCCCTACCCCCCCCCCCCCCCCTCTGTCTCTCTCCCGCCTTCCTTTCCCACCCCTCTTTCTCTCTCTCCTTCAGCTCTCCCTCCCCCTCTTTTCTCCTTCCTCCCATTCTCTCTCCCTCTCAGCAAAACAGACATACTGGACAAGACGATCTTCCTCCTCCTCCTGCAGTTTGAGCAGCTGTTCCTCATAGGCCATGTGCTCCTCCAGCATCTTCTCGTGGTTCACTTTGGCGTGGCGCGCGTTCATCTCACGCAGCTCTTCCAGCTGGTCCAGTTGATCCATCTCATTGCGACTGGCCTTGGTTCTGTTCTCCAGGACCTGGTCAGAAAAGGAGCAAAAACAGTCGTTCACTGATACACATTCAACCAAACATGGTTACAAAGCCAACAGAACTGTTCAAGCAATAGGCTTGGGAATGTGCAAAAAAAATCACAATTGGTACTAAGAATATTAAGAAAATAATATATTCAATGAAGATGTTCAAGACAGCCCCCCACTGATGAGGATAAAAATGGTTGTCTTAGACAGGCGCATGCCTTGGGCAATATCATTAAATTGGGACTATACACACAAAAAAACCCACAAAGAGAGAAGGGGGGAGTGTTTGAGTGAGGGTGGTCTTTGTACAGGTGATTGTTAGGCAGTTAAAGCAGGTTCGACTGTATGTCAGCTGAAATGCCTACAATTTTTTTTTTTATGTGGAGTTTGAAATGTTCACTTACATTTACTTTTTCTCTCAAATTGTATATTTCTTTTGACTCTGCAGAGCATATTTAATAGAGAAGCTTTATGGCAGTACGAGAACTGTGCTTATATCTAATTTCTCATTAGAAAGTAAAGATGCAAAAACTGAACGCTATTATAACACTCTTATTATATTTGATCTGATACTTCTTAACGCTAAGTGATACAATCAAACCTGATCTAAAGGCCACCTGTATAAGACAATCAAGCAACTGCACAAACAACCACTTCCCATTTCCCCCTTGCATTTTTTTTTTCCATCACTATGTAATACGTCCGCCTGTCTAAGACGCCCATTTTTCTCTTCCACATTGGGTGGCCCTATGAGACAATTTCGGCTGTACATTCAAACAGCGCCTAAAGGCAGAGGTGATATTATGACACTTATTATAATCACAAGACAATATTATAGAAGGTGATTGCTGAATTATGTTCTTTAGAAAAAAACAAAAAAACAAAGAATTTATTGAAAGGGTTACATACAACATACTCAAATAAAAAGTTCTGCCAGTGTCATAAGTTTCTGGAACAAAAGGGGAAATAATTGTAGGTAAATGAGCACACAAAAATTGGTTATTTCTAAAACATAAAGACTAAAAAAATTAAGCAAAAATAAACTGACGTACCATGACACAAAGCATGGCCAACCTCTGAAAATAGCAGACGACAATTATTCTCTCATCGCAAAAGTACTTCAGCTACTTCAGCAAGTTCAGTTTTCTTCAAGTCTTCAACATCACAACAAACCATAAAAACTTAGTCCCGACAAAACACGAGCCACACCTTCATAGGGTTCAGCTCATCCTCCTCCTTTTCTTTCCTTTCCTTTTCCGCCATCTGATGTGCCAGCTTCTCTGCTTCAAACAATCGGGTCGCTCCAGCCTCCATGGCGTAGTCAGTGTTGGCCAAGTCAGTCTGAAAATTAAAACAAATTTTCAAGTATTCAAACCACTCCTTCAAATAAAGAAATACATATTAAGTGAAAAGATTGTATAGCAGAAAAATAGAAGGAGCAAATATATAAACAGAAGCTTATTTAAAGGTCACTGAAAAGAAAAATGGATTGAAGTACTGCTTTATTGGTTAAGTATTCAATGTGAGGTGATGTGCAATCCAGTGACAGTTCAGTTGGAAAACAACGTTTTTACTGGTACTTAATACTAGCATCCAACATTATTTACAAAGGGCGTAATTGTACACACAGGATAAAAAGAAGCAAGACTCAAAAGACTTTTACTGCCAGCAAGAGTATTTCACAGATCAAATATATCATGTCAAAACATTTTGAGACAGCAGGTGCCTAACTCACCTTGAAAGCAATCTCTGCAACACAACGAGGGCACTTGATATAAAATCGGAAGATACGAAGTCCCAGGTAATCTTCATCATCCACATTTTCTTTGCGTGAGTTGAACTTTTTTCCTTTGTAAATGTATTCACCACAAGTGTTACATCTGAAACAACAGATGGGTTAGAAAACTATGATGCAAATGAACACTTTTTGTTTAAAAAAGAAAACAGAACTAACACACACATAAAAAAAGAAAAAACAGTTATTCATAAAATTTCTCTACTTCTACATTGTCATGCTCTGTTGTTGGAGTATATCTACTCAGATTATAATCCAGTCAAAAGGTTTTCCTTCAAGTTTTATATCATAATATGAAGGAAAAGGCAAGAGTCTAAGCATGACCAGGGACTTTGAGGAATGACATGACGCCCATTTGCCAAAGGGAGAAGCAGTTACCACAACAAAGAATACATACTTTCACACTTTTATCAGAAATGGAGCCCCACTCCTCAAAAATTTCTTCATAATGGACCAGGAAGAAAACAAGAAGAAAACTAACAAGAACTGAACATTAAAAAATCTGGCGGAGCACACTAAACTTAAAGAAAAGATATAAATAGATTTGCAAGTTTAACTATTTACAGATCATAGCATTAATTTCATTCCATGGTCCACTCTAGTTGTTTTTTTTTGGG